GTGGAATGAGCTCCCGGAGGAGATCAGGGCCCTGCAGGACTTTATGCAGTTCTGCAGGGCCTGCAAGATGGAGCTCTTCCACCAGGCTTTTGAGTAGGAGTTGCCACTACCACCACCATCAACGAGTTTGGAACAACGGGTTGTAGGAGTGGCTCTGAATCGATCACACTGTGGTACCACAATGTGTGGGTGCCACTGAGCTTAAGACCTGATTCTGGATACCATCCCCACCATCTTTAAACTGAAGATCATGACCGGCTTGAAGCACTTTATTTATACATTAGATATGTTGCTTTACTCTGTTTTTAGTAAGTTTTTATATTGGCATGTGTGCCCTTGTTTTTGCCGCCCTGAGCCCGCTCGTGGGGAGGGAGGCCTAGAAATTGAATAAATAAATAAATCATATGCATGGCTAGAGAGCCGGTCAAATTCATAGAAGGATTCAGGGCTCTTTTTGTAGCAGGAACTCCTATGCATTTTAGGCGTCACACCCCTAATGTAGCCAATCCTCCAAAAGCTTACAGAGTTCTTCTTACAGGGGCTACTCTAAGCTCTTAGAGGATTGGCTACATTAGGGGTGTGTCGCTTAATATGCAAAGGAGTTCCTGCTACATAAAGAGCCTTGGAAGGACTGAAAGCATTATGAAACACAGGTTTGAATCTCATTCTACAGTGGAAGCTTGCTGGGTGACCTGTATTAAAAATGTCAACATCTTTAACATGAAATAACATAAAAGAATATGGTAGTACTATCCGTTAATTCTTCATAGGTGAGTATGATTATGCAGATACATTAAATGTTTCTTACACAAAAGTAAACAGGTCACAGTGCAAGAAGCCCCTCAGAAGAAGTTGATAATGAATTCAGAATCCAATACTTATGTTTCAAAAATCATCTTCTAAGAATAGCTAACTGTCCCATTTGCTGGGTGCACATTCTTACTACTTCAAACACCATATAAAGTTATCTTTTTTCATTCACAGTTTATTAATTTCTATAGTGAACAATAATACAAAATATTAATCTTATTTTTCAACAATCTATTATACTATTCACCCCTTTTATTAATAGAAAGTGTTCTTCGGCTCATCCTCTGACTCCTATTATACCTAATAACTAAACAAGAATTACTTTCTATTCTGACTTCTATTATCTTGTACCACCCATTACATGTAATTCCATTCAGTTTCCTAAGGTCTTCTTCCATATTCATATTAGTCATAATACATATATTTGCATAGCATTGGACATTCTTCAATTAACTGTTTACTATTGCATATTTCCAATTTATTCTTCAGTTTATCCAATTTATTATCTATATTCATTCATCCTCTAAGACTATATAAAAGCTGAATTTAGGATGTTCTTGCTATGTTTAATCATGACAATGAATATAAAAAATATTGATCACAAGTTTCTCAAACATCTGATTATCCACTGGAACACCAGCTAATATAGCCCATCTTTGAAAATTTTGTAGACCTTATACTCAGATCTCACCTGACTAAATGTGCTATGCCATGTGATGATTTCTTCATTAATGGCGAACTCTCTGCCCAGTGAAGCCTGAGGATCCACCCACCCTACTTTCACCCGTGAGAAGGATTTGTTTGGAAAGGTAACCCAGTTTGTAATGTCAAATCCACTTTTTGTTTCACCACTTTTATCGAAGGTCACTTCCTCTCCGGCGCTGTTGTTAAATGAGATGCCCCTCAGGAAATAATGGAGCTGAAAGAAGTAAAAACTTTTATAAAATGGTGAATAATGGTGTCATTGTTAGATAAATCACTTTGTGATTCTGTGAATGGACGGTTTTGAGAGATAAAGACTTCATTTCTTTGCTGATGGACTGAGGGAGATTTCTCAGCAAGACTTTCTGAGGCACACAGGAAGGGGGAACATAATGTCATGATTGTCTTCCAGCTCAATCATGTGGATGTGACTTTGCCAACATTTGAGATGATTTCCTGCTCATTCTCTGTTCTGTAATCCTCATTCTGTGATTATCTATTCCCCCCTCTCACACATAGAGTGAACTGCAGCTAGGGGCATTTTAAAGTATGACATGAAAGGAAACAGTTACAAATCTTATCACCCAGCAACCCTTCTATTTTCTTCAAAACAACATCCATGTTGCTAAGTAGCTTATAAATACATCAAACTATTAAATACAAAAAAAACCTTGGAATTGAGATATTATTACCTTCCAAGGTGAAAAATTGAGAGCCTTCCATTTGTGTCCCTCCATTGCTGGTCTGGGCCTGAGTGTGGTTGTGTACATGATGTGCAAAGCATGTGCTATAGCATAGACAGCATTGTAAATGCTGTACCTTCGGCCAGCCATCCCCATTTCAAAATGAGTGCCAGGAAGGAGCTTCTGTTCCTCTTCCCTAGGACAACTGATCTTGACATCCTTGAAATCTGGCAACAAACAGTTGAATGCCTCTTTCCAAAAGACTCTGAAAACTTTGCGTCGATTTGTCCAATGAACACTTAAGAGCCGAAGGAAATTCTGGAACCCAGGAACCTCATGGGAGTGAACTGCAAAGGATAAAGATCCCTGGAAAGTTTGTCTTATGAAAGACCATCTCAATGTCTCCAGTTCCAAATCATCATGGGCTGTCATGATCCATACCTTACCTATTGTTATCTCTGATATTTCTGCTGTTTTTAGTAACAGTGTTAAAGTTGTCATGGCCTGAATTTCTGCATATATGACAAGAACTTTGGCTTGGGATTTATTTAAAGAAAGCAATAGATTCCTAGAACGCTCATTAATATTTGGATCCCGGAAAGAAAAATCCCTGCCTATTATCCTTTCTGTAAAGGCTGTACAGATGCCATTCTGAGTAAGCATTCTTGTCAGTATTTGTATGAAACCCTCTCCTTTATCATCATCTGGTGCAAAGATCCCAACCCACTTCCATGAGAAATGCTGAAGTAACTGGACAATCCCATTATATTGATGTCTTTCATTGGGAACCATCTGGTAGAAGGAAGGGAGCTTCACTGTGTCGTGTTTCTCTGAAGTGAATAAGGAGAAAGTAAACTAAAAGGGGAAAAAAGGTCACATTTGGAGATTATTTTTCATTTTGTATATGCATTTATCTACATATCACATGGTTCTCATGTGTGCGTGTATATGTGTGTATAAAACATGACTGCTTTCAGTCTTTCTCATCATCAACAAAAGTGTGCATCATTGTCTTCCTTACTGGAAAAAATATATATTCTGAGGTAGAATTTACATCTTCTCTGTAGCAGTAATGAGACCATTTAGGGAAATATATGGCAAGAAGAATATTGGAACCTACAGAATATAATCCCTTAGCTTTTACTTCAAACATCATATTTGTTCATCATAATACTTAGTGCTTGTTGAACACCATTTTGTGACACTGGACTGGAATCTAGCTCTCTCAAACTATGCGGCTAAGATATATAGTTGATGTATGCTTTTGGTAACTTTCTACTAGGATTTGAAGTCTACTGACTTCCAGAGATCTACATAGTGTACAAGTTTGGACCTCGTTTGTTTATTTTTTTAAAAAAGCATCCTCTGTAATAGTAAAAGACAAGGCCCATACTGACTACCTGTAAAGTCACTTATGAAAGAGATTTCAATATGTTGAGTTGGGACAGAGCCATCTAGTGTGTTTTGCAACTCAGAACTTTAATGATGTATGAACATCAACATGTCATACGTATTTTATGTACCCTGAATTTTTGCTTTAGAAACAGACATTTCATACTCCCATATATAGCAACATCCATAAATCGAACCATACCATAACAACTCTGCTGGGAGTATTCAGTTGCTAAAAGGATAATTTCCACAAATTATAATTATGATTTTGTTTGTTTGTTTGGCATGAATCAAATTTGGTCTTCATTTGTTCTTCTGACCTTCCTGAAAGGGCTCTTGAAAAATAAGGGAAGAGAGGGAAACACTCTGTAAGAGTTTCATACCCCACATGCATTTTGTACCTGTGGAATCTTATAAATGGGTAAGATGTTAGTCATTGAGAGCGTTGTTTCTGAGTCGAGCCCCCCGATTACTGCTGCCAGGTTCCTCTGGATCTCACAGTTGTAGTTTGGGATGGGCATATTCTGCAGTGCAGTAAGGCTCAGGATGCTCTGATAGTTTATCCTTTCATCATAGTACCTATGATAGATGTGGAACCCCAGAGTGATATTTGCTAAAATATTGGGGTTCTTATTGATCTCTTTCACGGTGTACACCAAGGAGAGGACATGTTGATTTTTCTTTGGGATGTCCCTGAAATAAGAAATTATTATTTTTTTGTAAGCTAGTCTCATATTAAAAAGGAAACTGAGCAGCAAGCAAGTCTGAGGGAAAAGGTGGAGAAGGCATGTGGACTGGCATGTGAAATGGATGGAGTACAAACAAGCTAAGGGCAAAGTCTAAATGAAAAAATGGGTAAGAAGCATATAGCGAAGTTCATATATATAGTCTGAAAATAAGCATCCTTGAACAATATGTTTCATAATAAAGTCCCAACCCAACATAGACTGATGCAGGAGTACATCCTATGCATCATAATGGGACTTACTTCTGAGCAAATATGCATAGGAATGGACTATAAACCTATCTTCTAAACAGGGAGGTATTCGTATTTATTTATTTTTTCTCCACCCCTGGTCTCAAGGCGAGTAATGATAATAATAAAAGCTGTACATGTTCAAAACAGCTCTATTACTAGAAACAATCAGGTGGCAGAGAACTGGTAGAAAATATATCCCTCTTTAATAAGACTTGCAATGGGGAAAAATACCCTTACACAGTTGGCTGCAAAACCCATGGATCAAGATGTTGTCTGAAGTCCACAAGATGATAGAAGGTTGAAAGCAATGAAATAATTCCTCCAATGATAAAGTCGCCTTTCTGATAATACTCATGTGGGACCTGAAAGGGATTGTTCATGTGACACATAGCAGTGTGAGCAATGCACCGTGGTTGAAGAAGCAGCAATAAGAGCATGAACAGAAATGACCTGGCCATCATGGAAGCATTCTTTCACCCTCTCTCTCTGAATACTAAGTCCTGTAGCTTTTGACTCATCACAAGCAAATGCTCATCAGGTCACAGTACGCTGCCTTCTACAACTTTCTGACTCCACTGGTAATTTCATTTAATACCTGGCCTGTAAATCTGAAAAGATTAGCTCGTCAGAGGATTTGCAGTTTACAGTTCCTAAGAGAAACGACAAAGAAGTGGGTTTATAACACTTTTCCAGTTTAGCTATAGATAATGTTCGTAATCTCTGCACATCTGTGTGTTTTCAGAAGACAAGAACAACTCATAGTGTTTTGAGATAATAATAGGGTTCATAATTACCCTCATATGTGCAGTGTGAAGTAGAACAACAAATTCAAAGAAACATTGTTTTCAGTCTTATCGAAACTTGCTATATTCCTACTAGGAACATGTTCCCACTGCCCATGGAGGTGGTGAGTTCCCCCTCATTGGCAGTCTTCAAGGAGTGGCTGGACAAACATTTGTCAAGGATGCTTTAGGTTGATCCTGCATTGAGAAAGGGTTTGGATTAGATAGCCAGTATGGCCCCTTCCCATAGAAAAGACCCTGATGCTTGGAAAGATTGAAGGTCAAAGAAGACGGGGACGGCAAAGGATGAGATGGTTAGACAGTGTCAAAGATGCAACGAACATGAAATTGAGCCAACTTCAGAGGACGGCGGAAGACAGGAAGGCCTGGAGGGAGCTGGTCCATGGGGTCGCGAAGAGTCGGACTCGACTGTGTGACTGAACAACAAATGGCCCCTTCCAACTCTATGGTTCTGTGCTGGAACAGTGGCAAACTATGCTTTAATGGAGAGCTTTACCCCCCTTTGTCCTATTCTGGAGGGAAAGAATATTGGAAAAATTTGAAATATTTGAATTTTAATAATTCACTGCTTGTGATTACCCAAGCTCAGAGAGGTTACTCTTGTCTGGCGTCTATGAATAAGGGGGGAGGGGATGGCAGTTTTAGTTAACTCCCGGTTAGCCTGTCCATAAGGTGATGTCTACAGAGATGTACATTCATTTTCAAGGGAGGGAGAAAGGCACCGAAATATGAGTTCACATTATAGCTGTATCTGAAGAAGTGAGCAGTGATTCACGAAAGCTCATACACTGACACAAATATTGTTAGGTTTTAAGGTCCTACTGGACTCTTGCTCTTTTCTCCTGCTGCAGACAGACTAACCGGGCTACCCATCTTGACAAGATCAGGTCATCCTGGGCTATTAGTGTAACAAAAATGAATATGTGAATGGAAGCCACCCCTTTTGTTTATATCTGTGGTTCCAATATGGCCTTCGGGTGAGTGAAGATTTCATGTTTCTGGGAGCTACAAATTTTAAAAAAACAAATTCCCAGATGCATTTCTTTTATTCCAGAATTCTAGGTCCACTACTTTTGTCATTCCCACCCATTTCACTCCTTCTAGAGGCAGGAAGAACGAGGGGAGAAAAAACATGCCTAGCAAACAGCTGTTCGGCAGCACAAGTGCCCTTTCTAAGTGCCATCATTTTCTATGGAAAGACCTGGCCTCCAAACAGAAAAAAAACACTTATAATTCATTTGCCCAAGGCTCCCCAAACCTTTTGAGCTTGTGGGCACCTTTAGAATGCTGACATAGTATGGTGGGCACAGCCTCAAAATGGCTGCTGCAGCTTATCTTCAGTTACACAGTGAAGATCCTCGTGCTTTGGTGGCAGCTGATGCCAAAGCAACTTTTTTTAAAAAAAATCTGCACAGCCAATCAGATCTCCAGTGCTCTATCTGAAGCCTTGCTATCTGGCCTTGCCCATTTACTAGAAAGACTTGGCTGGCCCCAGAAAAAGTGTTGGCAGGTGCCATGGTGGTGCCCCTGGGTACTGACTGGGGAACTGTGCCTTAGGATTCCTCTCAGATCGTTATATTTGGTAAAATGAATACTCACAGAGGTTTGACTATTCTTACAAAAATGCTGTCAAGCATCATTATACCAGTGTTGCAGATGGCATGCTGAGTACAGGAGATAATGGTGGCTAAGGCTACCTATGGGGTGCACGATGTTGGTGAATTCTGGACTGAGGACATCTTGGTTCTTCTACTCTATGCATACCCATTGATGACCACTTACACATCCACATACGAATGAATGTCTCTTGAGAAACCTGTATAAGGTCCAAGAAGCGACAGTTAGAACCGGATATGGAACAACTGATTGGTTCAGCATAGGAAAAGGAGTACGACAAGGATGTATATTGTCACCTTGCTTATTTAATATATATGCAGAGTACATCATGCGAAATGCTGGCCTGGATGAATCACAAGCCAGAATTAAGATTGCTGGGGAAAAGATCAACAACCTCAGATATGCAGACGATACCACTCTAATGGCAGAAAGTGAAGAGGACCTAAAGAGCCTCTTGCTCAGAGTAAAAGAGGAGAGCGCAAAAGTGGGCTTGAAGCTCAACATCAAAAAAACTAAGATCATGGCATCCGGCCCCATCACTCCTTGGCAAATAGAAGGGGAAGTCGTGGAAGTAGTGACAGACTTCACGTTCCTGGGATCCCAGATCACCACAGACTGTGACTGCAGCCATGAAATTAAAAGACGCCTGCTACTTGGGAGGAAAGCGATGGCGAACCTAAACAGCATGATAAAAAGTAGAGACATCACCCTGCCAACAAAAGTCCGCATGGTCAAAGCAATGGTATTCCCAGTAGTCATGTATGGCTGCGAGAGCTGGACTATAAGGAAGGCCGAGCGCCGAAGAATAGATTCTTTTGAACTATGGTGCTGGAGAAGACTCTTGAGAGTCCCTTGGACTGCAAAAAGATCAAATCAGTCAATCCTAAAAGAAATCAACCCTGACTGTTCCCTGGAAGGCCAGATAATGAAACTGAAGCTCAAATACTTTGGCCACCAAATGAGAAGGGAGCACTCACTGGAGAAGACCCTGATGCTGGGAAAGATTGAAGGTCAAAGAAGACGGGGACGGCAAAGGATGAGATGGTTAGACAGTGTCATCGATGCAACGAACATGAAGTTGAGCAAGCTTCAGAGGACGGCAGAAGACAGGAGGGCCTGGCGGGAGATGATCCATGGGGTCGCGAAGAGTTGGACTCGACTGTGCGACTGAACAACAACAACAAATAGTCAAAGGTGGGGCAAGGGCAACGTAAAGAAGGCCTAAGTAAGTTAAACTGAAGAGTATAGTTTGTAGGGAAGACTCCTTGCATCCTTGAACAACGCATTCCACATTTCTTAATGTGATACAAAAAGTTTTTGCCCTGACCTGGATAGCCCAGGTAGGCCAATCTCATCAAATCTTGGAAGCTAAACAGGAATAACTCTGGTGAGTACTTGGATGGGAGAGCTCACTGAAATACCAGAGGTGGGAGGCATGGGCAGGCTTTATTCAGCCACATCTCTGAATATCCTCAAGGCCCCCAGTAGAGGTCAGTCACCAGAGGTCGCCATGACTTCCAGGTGCACACACACTCACGCGCACATGTGCACGCACATACACACATGAAAAATACAATACAAAACAAAAAGTTAGATGGGTGTAAATCCCACTGCACTTAATTGGAATGACGTCTGTGAAACATGAATTGGAGTGTAAGCCTATATTCTTAAAAGGAAAAAAAATCATTTTATTTATTATTTCAATTTATATCCTGCCTAGCCACAGAACTGGCTCAAGGAGGCTAACAACATTAACTCTGGTGAGTACTTGGATGGGAGAGCTCACTGAAATACCAGAGGTGGGAGGCATGGGCAGGCTTTATTCAGCCACATCTCTGAATATCCTCAAGGCCCCCAGTAGAGGTCAGTCACCAGAGGTCGCCATGACTTCCAGGTGCACACACACTCACGCGCACATGTGCACGCACATACACACATGAAAAATACAATACAAAACAAAAAGTTAGATAGGTGTAAATCCCACTGCACTTAATTGGAATGACGTCTGTGAAACATGAATTGGAGTGTAAGCCTATATTCTTAAAAGGAAAAAAAATCATTTTATTTATTATTTCAATTTATATCCTGCCTAGCCACAGAACTGGCTCAAGGAGGCTAACAACATTAAAAATACTAAAATAATAAATACATTAAAATACACTAGAGAATAAATACAACTACATAAGCAATTAAACAGTAGTAATAATGAATCTAAATTTATTACTTTCAGCTTGCTGGTCTTCTGCAGTGTTTGGCTTTCCTTTATTCCAACCTATCTGACCACCAAGGGGAAATACACTGTGGCTGTAGAGATTTTCTCAATTTTATCCTCCAGCGTGGGTCTACTATGTTTCATATCTACGATTGTGTAGTGGGTTGCCGCATGGATGGACGACAGACAACGACATAGTGCATAGCACGCTTTATTGGTACACAACAAGAACAGAGGACAAACGGCCGGCAGGCCAACTATATACACATCCAGGGGCACACCCCTGGGTCCCATTGGCGGGTTTGAATCTCCCGCCACGGTCCCATTGGTTCCCCCAGTGGGGGACTAGAATCCTAGTCCCCATTGTTATTTTCACTTCAAGCTCAGGGTGTTCGCTGGCTCCCGGTGGTGGTCAGCGTACACAACATCCCTCCCCCCATAGTTCGGAACCCCCCTAAGTTATGTAGTCCTTGAGGTAGGACAGGGTCCGTCACTCTCTTGTGGACCTTCGGGGGGGGATACTGGAATTGCTGGGGCCTCGGCCGCTGTGTCGGAGGGTCTTACCAGCAGAGGCTCTTCAGGTCCTGCAGCGCTGGCAGCTGGGGCCTCTTCCACGCCTGCCAGAGGAACGGGAGCCTCGTCTTGCTGCTCCCGCACAGTCGGGGTCTGCGCGGGTGGTGCCTGTGCGTTTCCCTCGAGGCCTGACTGAAGTTCCGGACCTTCCGTACTTGTGTGTTCCGGGAGCATGTGCCTACGGAGCTGATCAATGTGTCTCCGCAATAGTTGGCCACACTCGGTAGACATTTCATACATCCGGGTGCCCAAGGGACGGATGATGCGGCCGGCCAGCCATGCGGGCCCCGTGCCAAAGTTCTTGGCAAAAACCGTATCTTACGGAAAAAAACCCGTGGGGTGCTTCCAGCTGCTCAGTCGTGTTTTGCTCCTCTGGAGCCCGATCCGGGTGCAGGCGGTCCAGCAGTGTCCGAGGCCTCCAGCCCAGGAGGAGCTCCGCTGAGCAGTGGCCGCTTACCGGGTTGGGCGTGATGTGCTGTGCGAGGAGGAATTGCGCAATTCGCTTCTCCCAGTCTCCCTCCGTCAGGCGGCTCAGTGCTTCCTTAGTCGTCCGCACCATCCTTTCGGCTTGGCCGCTGGTCGTGGGGTGGAAAGGCGCTGATCTGATGTGCCGGATCAGGTTGCCGCTGAGGAACTGCTGGAACTCCTCCGACGTGAACGCTGTCCCATTGTCCGAGACGATGGTGTCTGGCAGACCGTGGGTGGCGAACAGTTGTTGGAGGACATGGATGGTGGCCCTAGTGGATGTTGTGGAGACGGGGCTGACCTCCAGCCACTTGGTGTAAGAGTCCACTGTTAACAGAAACAACAGTCCATGGAACGGCCCCGCGAAGTCTATGTTGAGCCTGGACCATGGGGTGTGTGTGGATTCCCAGGACTGGGAAGGTGCCCCCAGTGGGCTGGGCCTCACTGCCTGGCAGGTGACGCACTGTTTCACCCATGCTTCCAGTTCTGCGTCGATGCCTGGCCACCAGACGTAGCTCCGGGCAAGGCCCTTCATCCTCACGATGCCCGGGTGTGTCTCATGCAGGGCATGCAGAACCTTTTGCCGCAGGGCGCTGGGGACCACGACCTGGTCCCCCCATAGTAGGCAGCCTTTGTGTGCCGATAACTCCTCCCTGCGGCACTTGAACGCCGCAAATTCTGGCTCCTCCGCCTGTGTAGGCCATCCCCTCACCACCCAGCCCAGAACCCGGGATAGGATGGGGTCCCGAGCGGTGTAGCGGGCGATGTCTGCTGCCTGGAGAGGCGCGTCTGGAAGGTCCTCCAACTGAAGGACACGGTGCACCGGGGCTGGGTCCCCCATGACGTCCAGCAGGGGCAGGCGGCTGAGTGCGTCGGCATGGCCCATCGCCTTTCCGGGGCGGTGTTCAATCTGGTACTCGTAGCCCGCCAGGAAGATGGTCCACCGCAGGACACACGGGGAGAGGACTTGTGGCGTTCTTCGGTCGGGCGCGAACAGGCCAAGAAGCGGGCGGTGGCGATGGTGAAGGGATGACCATAGACGAAATTGTGGAATTTTTTTACCCCGGCCACGATTGCAAGTCCTTCGTGATCTATCTGGGCGTAATTTCGTTCGGCCACAGACAGAGTGCACGAGTAGTACACGACCGGGACCTCCCGGCCGTCTGGTAAGCGATGTGCTAGTACAGCCCCAACGCCGTAGGGCGAAGCGGCACAGGCCAGAACCACCGGCAACGACTCATCGAAGTGGGCCAAGACCGTGTTGGAGATCAAAAGTTCTTTTACGTTCCGGAACGCGGTGGCCTGCCAGAGTCCCCAGACCCATGGGGCTTGTTTGTCCAACAGGCGATGGAGAGGCTCCGCTACCGCCGCCTTGTGGGGCAGGAAGGCGTGGTAAAAATTCAGGATACCGAGAAAAGCCTGCAATTCCGCCTTAGACTTTGGTGGTGGCGCCTCCACAATCGCTTTAACTTTGTTGCGGGTTGGGTGGAGGCCCTCAGCGTCCACTGTGAACCCCCAAAAGTCCACTGATGGCACCCCCAGGCGGCATTTGTTCAGTTTTACTTTCAGCCCAGTGTCCTGGAAACGGCTGAGCACGGCGCGGAGGCGGACAGCGAATTCGGCGGGTGTGGCTGCGGTGATCAACACATCATCAAAGAAGGGCGTGACGCCGGGGATCCCTTTAAGCAAAGAGTACATTCATTGCTGGAACAACCCAGGTGCCACGCTCACCCCAAAACTTAGTCGCTTCACACGGAATGCCCCCCGGTGGGTAACTATGGTTTGTCCATAAGCGTAACCTGGGCTGGGCGCAATCGGGGTCCCCCCTTGGGACACAGGCATCTCAGGGTTGCTGCAGAGTTTATTGACTGCTGCGGTGAGGACCCCTTTGAGGTCAACCTTCTCCATGGCCATGAGCTTTCGTCGGAGTTTCTCCTCACGCAAGCCCACGACGAAGTGGTCTCGGAGGGCGTCATCTAGATGTGCCCCGAAGTTGCAGTCGGCGGCGAGATGGCGCAGCTCCACTAGGAACTCAGTGGCAGTCTCTCAGCCCAGCTGGTTGCGGGTGTAGAAGGTCACCCTGCAGGTCAGCTCCGTCGGTTTGGGCGTGAAGTAGTTCTGCACCGCGCTGACGATATGTTCGAAGGTGCAGGCATCAAGGTCCGTCGGGGACAACAACCTTTCGGCCAGGGACACAACAGCGGTGCCACAGGAGGCCAAGAGGAAACCTCGTTTCTTTCCATCATCCGTGATGTTGCAGAAGGCAAGCGCTGACTTGACGCCTCTGACCCAGGCTGGCCAGTCTTGCGGACGGGTTATGTCAAAGGGCGGCTGCGGCCCGAACCCTGGAGTGGTCGCCATTGTGCGTGTCGGAGGGGGTGGGAGAGAAGCGGCCGCGCCGGCTGGATCACTCATCGGATCGCTGCAACTTCGCGTTCTCTTGGCCCTCGTCGACGGTCTGGCTCAGTTGCGGCTGAATCCCACCTTTGTTGCCACTATTGTGTAGTGGGTTGCCGCATGGATGGACAACAGACAACGACGTAGTGCATAGCACACTTTATTGGTACACAACAAGAACAGAGGACAAACGGCCGGCAGGCCAACTATATACACATCCAGGGGCACACCCCTGGGTCCCATTGGCGGGTTTGAATCTCCCGCCACGGTCCCATTGGTTCCCCCAGTGGGGGACTAGGATCCTAGTCCCCATTGTTATTCTCGCTTCAAGCTCAGGGTGTTTGCTGGCCCCCGGTGGTGGTCAGCGTACACAACATTTACCCTAAATGCTACATCATTGTGATGAGGCCTAAGCTAAATAACAAGGAGAGGCTAATGAAGAAAAATTAGTATACTGTGCTATTCTATCTGCTGTTTTTGGTATGAATGTCACATTTGTCCAAGGGATGTCTGGACTGGAGATGGTGGGCCTACTCTAGAACTGATTCTGGGGTAGTTTAGTTTAGTTTAGTGTTACAGTCCTTAAACCAGTCATACAAAAAAACAAGTACACCTTTACAATATTCAAAATTATAAAATACCACAATAAAACATTAAGATTCTGTGGTAAGATATTAAGAGAAAATTTGTTGAAATGGAAACTTTCTGAAGAAAAATATTGATTTCTAAAGATTACATGTTCCATAACATCAATAATGAGTTAGAACTATTCTGAACTTTTGTGTCAATAAGGCTACAGTTCTGTATTGCAATAAGCCTATTGCCGTAATTTTGTCAATAATGTTTTGAATGCAATTAAAATGAAATAAAATAAACATTATTTATTTATTTATCTTTCAACTTGCTACCCCGCTCGAACCCCCCAGAGGGTCTCTGAGCGGCTTACAGTTAACCGTTATCCCTATCCTATGGCCACATATATGCTGGGGTGGGGACTGTCCTAACAGCACCCAGTGGAGGGACGCTATTCAATCTTCTTTCTGGAACGGCTCGTCGGCTCGGCTTCTCCTGGCCTCTTTCTCCTTTTATCCTTGATCTTTCCGGTGATGGTTCATTAAAAACAATGAATGGATTCCATTGCCAGTGCAATAGTAAGCAAACTTGGGAATTTGAAATCTGTATTTAATAGGTTCTAGGTGAGGATCCCTAGGGACTGTGAGGATATTTGTGATTTGTTATTCTGTAAAATGGGGACTGAGGGATAAATCCAGCAAACACGAGCAACTTGGTCCCTCAAACAAAGACATGAAACAACAGAATGGGGTTAACTAGTTTATTTGAATGGCTGTTTTACATTATAATTATGAAAATATTTGAACATATTTTAAGGGCAAGCTGTGCTAAAGCAGCTCAATTTATTTATTTTTATTTTATTTATTTTGTTGGACGTTAGCACCTACCCACCCCCATACAGCAGACTCAGGGTCCGTTACAACATTCTTAGGACATACAAAGATTTAAAATAGAATATAATTCATAAAAACAATTACAATACAATACCAATACACACAATATAAATATGCAAAAACCCTTCAGAGGTGCCAGCTAAACAAATTCATGAATAGGATGAAATTCCAGATTATGCATAGCTGCAGGATAAGAAAGAACAAGAAAACTGGGTGGGTGAGGAAGCAGCTCTAGTGGACTATAGATGCTGCTAAGGTAGAGCTAAACAGAGCAGAGCAGAGCAAAGGAGGCCATTATAGATGGATTGTAACCACTTTGACCATAGGCCTGGTAGAACATCCTTAAGGAGCTGCATTAGATCCCGCAGGGCCCAGATCTCTCTAGGGAGAGTGTTCCACCAGGCTGATGCCAGGACTGAGAAGTCTCTTGCTCTGATCAGGACTAGGTGGACATCTCTGGGGCTGGGGACAACCAGTAGATGTTAATGAGAAGAATGCAAGACCCTTTGGGGGCTGTATTGGGTGAGATGGTCCTGCAGATATGATATTCCCAGCCTGCACAGTGCTTTGAACGTAATCAGTGATATCCATGTGAGGACACGCACCGCTGCATTTTGGACCAGCTGCAATTTCTGGATCAGTCTCAAGGGTAGCCCTGCATAGAGTGAGTTATCGTAATCCAGCCTGGAGGTGACTGTTGCATGGATCACTGTAACTAGGTCACTTTGAAGACATCTCAACAGATATAATCTGCGGATTTTTATTAGTGTTACCCAGGGCTCTTTTTGTAGCAGGAGGGGCTGTATTGGGTGAGATGGTCCTGCAGATATGTTGGTCCCAGTCTGCACAGGGCTTTGAACGTAATCGGTGATATCCCTGTGAGGACACGCACCGCTGCATTTTGCCTGGAGG